TGTCACTGTTGTCACTTCTGTCACTATATTCACTGTTGTCACCGTTGTCAGTGTTGTCACCGTTTTCACCATTGTCACTGTTGTCAGTGTTGTCAGTGTTGTCACCTCTGTCACTGTTGTCATTGTTGTCACCTCTGTCACTGTTGTCACCGTTGTCACCGTTGTCACGTTGTCACCGTTGTCACTGTTGTCACTGTTGTCACCTCTGTCACTGTTGTCACCGTTGTCACTGTTGTCACCGTTGTCATCGTTGTGACTGTTGTCACTGTTGTCACCTCTGTCACTGTTGTCACCTCTGTCACTGTTGTCACCTCTGTCACTGTTTTCAGTGTTGTCACCTCTGTGACTGTTGTCACCGTTGTCACCGTTGTCACGTTGTCACTGCTCTCACCGTTGTCACCGTTGTCACTGTTGTCACTGTTGTCACCTCTGTCACTGTTGTCACCGTTGTCACCATTGTCACCGTTGTCACATTGTCACCGTTGTCACTGTTGTCACCGTTGTCACTGTTGTCACTGTTGTCACCTCTGGCACCGTTGTCACCGTTGTCACTGTTGTCACCGTTGTCATCGTTGTGACTGTTGTCACTTTATTCACCTCTGTCACTGTTGTCACTGTTGTCACCTCTGTCACTGTTGTCACTGTTGTCAGCGTTGTCACCGTTGTCACCGTTGTCACGTTGTCACTGCTGTCACCGTTGTCACTGTTGTCACTGTTGTCACTTCTGTCACTATATTCACTGTTGTCACCTCTGTCACTGTTGTCACCGTTGTCAGGTTGTCACCGTTGTCACTGTTGTCACCTCTGTCAGTGTTGTCACCGTTGTCACTCTTGTCACCGTTGTCATGGTTGTCACTGTTGTCACCGTTGTCACGGTTTTTACTGTTGTGACCTCTGTCAGTGTTGTCACTGTTGTCACCTGTGTCAGTGTTGTCACCGTTGTCACGTTGTCACCGTTGTCACTATAATCACTGTTGTCACCTCTGTCACCGTTGTCACTGTTGTCACCGTTGTCATCGTTGTGACGTTGTCACCGATGTCACTTTTGTCACTGTTGTCTCCTCTGTCACCGTTGTCACCGTTGTTACCGTTGTCACTGTTGTGACGGTTGTCATCGTTGTCACTGTTGTCACCGTTGTCACGTCACCGTTGTCAGTGTTGTCACCTCTGTCACTGTTGTGACCGTTGTCACGTTTTCAGCGTTATCACCGTTGTCACTGTGGTCACCTCTGTCACCGTTGTCACTGTTGTCACCGTTGTGATCGTTGTCACTGTTGTCACCGTTGTCACCATTGTCATGATGTCACCGTTGTCACCATGTTCACTGTTGTCACTTCTGTCACTGTTGTCACTGTTGTCACCTCTGGCACTGTTGTCACCGTTGTCACGTTGTCACCGTTTTCACCATTATCACTGTTGTCACCTTTGTCACCGTTGTCACTGTTGTCACCTTTGTCACCGTTGTCACCGTTGTCACCGTTGTCATTGTTGTCACTGTTTTCACCGTTGTCACTGTTGTCAGTGTTGTCAGTGTTGTCACCTGTGTCACTGTTGTCATTGTTGTCACCTCTGTCACTGTTGTCACCGTTGTCACCGTTGTCACCATTGTCACGTTGTCACCGTTGTCACTGTTGTCACCTCTGTCACGGTTGTCACCGTTGTCACTGTTGTCACCGTTGTCATCATTGTGACTGTTGTCACTGTTGTCACCTCTGTCACTGTTGTCACCTCTGTCACTGTTGTCACCTCTGTCACCTTTTTTAGTGTTGTCACCTCTGACTGTTGTCACCGTTGTCAGCGTTGTCACGTTGTCACTGCTCTCACCGTTGTCACTGTTGTCACTGTTGTCACTTCTGTCATTATTGTCACTGTTGTCACCTCAGTCACTGTTGTCACCGTTGTCACGTTGTCACCGTTGTCACCGTTGTCACTGTTGTCACCTCTGTCACCGTTGTCACTGTTGTCACTCTTGTCACCATTGTCATGGTTGTCACTGTTGTCACTGTTGTCACCGTTGTCACCGCTGTCACTGTTTTCACTGTCGTCACCTCTGTCACTGTTGTCACTGTTGTCACCTCTGTCAGTGTTGTCACCGTTGTCACGTTGTCACCGTTGTCACTATAATCACTGTTGTCACCTCTGTCACCGTTGTCACCGTTGTCACCGTTGTCACTGTTGTCACCGTTGTCATCGTTGTCACTGTTGTCACCGTTGTCACCGTTGTCCCCGTTGTCACTGTTGTCACTGTTGTCACCGTTGTCACCGTTGTGAATGTCACTGTTGTCACCGTTGTCACTGTTGTCACTGTTGTTACTGTTGTAACCGTTGTCACCGTTGTCATTCTTGTCAGTGTTGTCACCGTTGTCTCCGTCGTCACCGTTGTCACTGTTGTCACTGTTGTCATTTTTGTCACCGTTATCACTGTTGTCACCGTTGTCACTTTTTTCACTGTTGTCACCGTTCTCACTGTTGTCACTGTTGTCACCTCTGTCACTGTTGTCACCTCTTTCACTGTTGTCACCGTTGTCATGTTGTCACCGTTGTCACGTTGTTACCGTTGTCACCGTTGTCACCGTTGTCACCGTTGTCACTGTTGTCACCGTTGTCACTGTTGTCACCTCTGTCACTGTTGTCACCTCTTTCACTGTTGTCACCGTTGTTAGCGTTGTCACGTTGTCACCGTTGTCACGTTGTCACCGTTGTCACCTCTGTCACCGTTGTCACCGTTTTCACTGTTGTCACTGTTGTCACCATTGTCACTGTGTTCACCTCTGTCACTGTTGTCACCTCTGTCACTGTTGTTAGCGTTGTCACGTTGTCACCGTTGTCTCCGTTGTCACCATTGTCATTGTTATCACTGTTGTCGCCGTTGTCACCGTTGTCACGTTGTCACCGTTGTTACCGTTGTCACCGTTGTCACTGTTGTTACTGTTGTCACCTCTATCACTGTTGTTACTGTTGTCACCGTTGTGACGTTGTCACTGTTGCACTGTTGTCACTGTTCTCACCTCTGTCACCGTTGTCACTGTTTTCACTGCTGTCATCGTTGTCACTGTTGTCACTGTTGTCACCTCTGTCACTGTTGTCACTGTTGTCACCTCTGTCAGTGTTGTCACCGTTGTCACTGTTGTCACCTCTGTCACCGTTGTCACTGTTGTCACCTCTGTCACTGTTGTCACCGTTGTCACCGTTGTGACGTTGTCACCGTTGTCACTTTTGTCACCGTTGTCACTGTTGTCTCCTCTGTCACCGTTGTCACCGTTGTTACCGTTGTCACTGTTGTGACCGTTGTCATCGTTGTCACTGTTGTCACCATTGTCACTGTTGTCACTGTTGTCACCTCTGTCACTGTTGTGACCGTTGTCATCGTTGTCACGTTTTCACCGTTATCACCGTTGTCACTGTGGTCACCTCTGTCACCGTTGTTACTGTTGTGACCGTTGTCATTCTTGTCAGTGTCAGTGACATTCACAACGGTGACAACGGTGGCAACGGTGACAACAGTGACAAAAGTGACAACAGTAACAATGACAAAGGTGACAACAGTGACAACGGTGACAACACTGACAACAGTGACAACAGTTGCAACAGTGAAAACGGTGACAACAGTGACAACGGTGACAATGGTGACAACAGTGACAACAGTGACAACGGTGACAACAGTGACAACGGTGACAACGGTGACAACACTGACAACAGTGACAACGGTGATAACAGTGACAACAGTGAAAACGTTCACAACAGTGACAACAGTGACAACGGTGACAACAGTGAAAACAGTGACAACGGTGACAACGGTGAGAAAAATGACAACAGTGACAACGCTGACAACGGTGACAACAGTGACAACAGTGACAACGGTCACAACAGTAACAACAGTGATAACAGTGACAACGGTGACAAGGTGACAACAGTGACAACAGTAACAATGGTGACAACAGTGACAACAGTGACAACGGTGACAATGGTGACAACACTGACAACAGTGACAACGGTGACAACGGTGACAACGGTGACAACAGTGACAACAGTAACAACGGTGACAACAGTGACGACGGTGACAATGGTGACAACACTGGCAACAGTGACAACGGTGACAATGGTGATAACACTGACAACGGTGACAACAGTGACAACGGTGAAGAGGGTGAGAACAGTGACAATGGTGACAACAGTGACAACAGGGAAAACGTTGAAAATGGTGAGAAAGGTGGCAACAGTGACAACAGTGACAATAATGAAAACGGTGACAACGATTACAATAGTGAGAACAGTGACAATGGTGAGAACGGTAACGACGGTGACAACGGTGACAATGGTAACAACGGTGACAACGGTGACAACGGTGACATGGGTGACAAAGGTGGCAACAGTGACAACAGTGACAACAGTGAAAACGGTGACAACGGTTACAACAGTGACGAGAGTGACAATGGTGAGAACGGTAACGACGGTGACAACGGTGACAAGAGTGACAACGGTTCAAAGGTGACAACAGTGACACTAGTGACGACGGTGACAACGGTGACAACAGTGACAACGGTGCCAACAGTGACAACAGTGAGAACGGTTTTAACGGTGACAACAAGCGACAACAGTGACAATTGGCTTCTATCACATTTCCATAATACATCTTTTCGTCCATGCCAAAAAATTGCATAAGCATGGTTTCTGTCTTCTTTTGGGATGATTGTTATACACAGGAGAAATTGAAATCAATACTCAAGCAAAAGTTTAGTGGGTTAAAAAGCAGTGTATCATAAGCAATGTAAAAAAGGCATATAAATATCTATTGAATTTTAATATTGAGACATACCCGGTAGATGTAATAGGTCAAATTTGATTTCAGGTTAATTTTGATTTAACAAAGGTTGATTCTCAATTTCCTTTGTTTCCTAGTCCAGACTCATGAATAATTAGGGCTAGGAGACAGGAAATTAAGAATGAGCCTTTTCTTGAACCCTGACCTAAAGAAGTAGGTTGAAATCTCCTTCACTGTCTTACCTTGCAGTAGCCACAAGAGAATCCCCTCTTTCTGATAATGGTGTCAAAGGCGTTATTCTTGAAGCACCCAGGGATAATGACTGTGGAACTGTAAAGTCATCATCCCAGATTGGAGAATTATCACCATAAACCTCTTCCTCTAACATTGAGAGAAATCTGAAAGGATATATGACAGAAATGAGAAATCTCAACACAGTATAAACTATAGGGCAATCTTAACTGATTTTATGGTTTACATTTTTGCTCATTAGCATATGAGTTAACCCAAAGAAGGCATTACCGTATGCACAAATTAAATTAAAAAGTTAAGAGAGTTGGTTAATGTGAGCAATTTCTGCAATTTTTAGCTCTTTACAAGCAATAACAAAAGTGGCAAAAACATTACTGACCCCATACAAACTATTTGGTATACTGTATCAGGCTCAAATTTTCACAGATAACCTAAAATTGTTGTGCTCTTTCGATATTCAGAGAGTTTATTTTAATAGCTTCATTAGAGAATTAAAGGTATGAGAGCAATGCTGCTATCACGATGACTAGCTGTCCTCTCCTCAGAAGAGACCCCCTGTCAACCAGGGGCGGAAGCAAGAGATTTACCCCTGCTACTTTCCTATGAAAAAAGAAGAAAAATAGACCTAAAAGAAATCCCTAGCTGTTTGATTCCTTGACTACTTGTTGTATTTACACAGAAACTTGACATCTTGGTGACAGCCCAGGCCCTACAGGAAGTTGTTCCAAAGGTGGATAGCACTCCACCTTATAAATATCTATCCAGTGGACAGCAAAATTGGTTTTTCTAATATTTATCCACTGGATAGTGATTTATCCGGCAGATAACGCTATCCACCTTTTTGAACAACTGGCGGCTAGTCAGTAATGATACTACAATTTGCATAACTTTTGTGCCTACTCAACCTTGGGCACGCTTTTACATTAAAAAATAGTGAAAATCTGGATATGGTGTAGAAAATTCACACAAATTCTAAATTTCTCTTGGCAAAATCCCCAGAAATATATAACAACATGCAAATGATCTGCTTAAGAGACTTAATTTCAACATCATAGTATTTTGTCCACAGAATTAAACGATAAACTATCCTACCACAATGTGGTCTTACAGGAATAAAAGAGTTTATGTTGTCAAACAACTGTTTCAATCCAGGAGTACAGTGATCCAGCTATAACACCATACCTTGGAAAATGAGTCAAAACAATAGTCCTTTTGTCTGGTGGCATTTTGTCTTTCTCTGCTCTGAACTTTTCCAAGAGTTGTCTCCTCATAACAGAGAACACTGATCTTAAAAGCACTCTTCCAAACACAGCTGTGGGATCATGTCTCTTTAAACTGTCACAAAATACTGGAACCTGGCAATAGCATAACCATCTGAAAAAAAGGAATGCTGTGTTTAACCCTTTAAGTCCCAATGGTGACCAACAACAATTTTCTCCCAACCATATATATACCTTGTCAAGAGATTAGGTTATGAGAATTTATGAAATGATCACTAAAGAGAAAATGCTTTGATCTGCCATCAAATTCTCTCAACTAATTCTTAAAGGAAATATATGGAGATCAGTTTGGAGAATTTGTATGTGGATATTGGGGCTTAAAGGGTTAATGTCTCTAAAACACTTAAATAAGTTCTACAACAAACAAATTTTAAAAGAACAAATAGTAATCCAGTTTTCAAGGTAACCCTTACGGTTTTCTTGTCTAAGAACATGTAAGTCATGCTTCCAAAAATTGCACTGTTGAGTCTTTACCCTGAGACACATGTACAGTAATGATAACACAAAATGTTCCTCTAAGCAATGCATAGGAAGGTAAATACAAAAAGTGCAACAAAATCTTAACCCTAGATTAGTGCTAATGAGCCTTCAAAGGAACAGGGCTCTGGGGATAACTGTCACTGTCAAAAGTCTAGATAATTGTGGTCACTTTTGAATTCTATGCAGGCTAGTAATGTCAACTGACCTTGTGTAGTTCTGTTTGTAGGCGGCAAGATCCTCTCCTTGGCTGTGAAGTTTCTTTTGCGTTGGCGTCTCTAACTTCCAGTGATTCAGACAATGTAGGAACATTTTTGCCAAGTCATGCATTATCTGCCATTCTCGTTGTGGAAGGTGGCCAAATTTGTATAGGACAAAGTTTAGGACTGCCTAAGAGATTAAAAAATACAATAATATTATAATCTCATTTATATTCATTCCATTTGTGTTTGATATAAATCTCCTTTTTACATTGAACAAACTTGGAAGATGTTTGCTGATGTCAGTGTACACGCACTGTTATCATATTTTACTGTTATTGACTGTTATTGACAGGAGGTCAGCATAACACCCTCCTCGATTGGGAGAATTCTTTATATCAGACTTAGCCTCATCCAATAATACTAATATTAACTTGTTATACTACTGACATTTAACAGTAATATGCCTTTGGTTAGGTTTTCATTGATGTCTATAATAATACCTGGCTGCAAGACTGATTGCTTAGTATTGGTGAGTTTCAAACTAAGGTAAAGACATTACTTAACACTTACAATGTACACTGTACCAATAATAATTATGTGGCTTTAAAACGCAACGTCCCCTATTCTAAAGTGCTGTATTGGTAGAATGAAAGTACCATAGACTACGAGCAGTCTCTCTTTTTTCTGTAGTCTGCAAGACACGCAAATGGCCATGCGTGTAACTGAAGGCACGAGACAGGAGCTCCCGCGAGCGTGCACTGCTCTGACTAAATCTGAAGAAAAAGAGAGACTGCCCGCAGTCTAAAAGCAGCTTTGCTTTATGTACTGTTAATTAAATCCAATTATATTATAACTGGATAAATTTAATGTGTAAGCCACTGTGGGTACCACTTACTTTTCCAATACTTGGCTTCTCAAAAGGCGGTGTCCCAAGGGGACCCTCCACTGTAACAGTTGCCATCTGCAAAATTCCTTTTCTCAAAAGTCTAAACAAGTAAAAGTAAACTTGCTTGGTGTCAGCATCTTCCTCCTTGTGCACACACATAAATAAGTTCTCTACATCGATTACCATGCACAACAGTCTATTAAGTTCATCTTCTGGAATGTCATGTAAGTGTGAGATGTGGGCACCAAGGGTGTGGCTGCAACTGCGGCATGGGTCTGTCAAGTTAGCAAGGGGCTGAGAGAGGTCCACTCTACTGGGTGTTGGTGGGGGATTGGGATTCTTCCACCCATTACATTTGCAAGACTCCTCAGCCTGAAAGAAAAGAAAGTGACTAACTTACAGTTTAGACTCCAAAAAAATTGGTCTTTTTCTCAAATCAATCTTTTTTTTTTACGATTTGAAGCACTAGCATAGCATCAGAGTCTCACACGCAAATCCTGCAAGCCTCACACTCACTCAGGGCATGTGAGCGAGAGAAAAAAACTAGCCTCGCTCCAGACCTTTTGTTTTGACTGTTTGCATGTAAATGTACTTGACTACCCAAAAATATAGTTTGTTTTGCAGTCCATGACCAACTGTGAATGTAATGGGACTTGATTGTAGATGTCAAGACTTGCAATGTGATCCTGAAGACGACAGCCAAGACCTCTAAGCGGTACTATTATTTTTTCTATTCTTCACACACAAAATTGTTACTTTTCTTTAATTTTCAGCATTAGTACATTTAAATCATAAGAATGAACGTTATTTTGAAAGTTATAAAATTATACAAGATTCCTCCCCTTCATGGTTTTGTCAACTTTTGGCTTGAACTACAGTTGGTGACAATCTATCAACATTACAGGAAAGAGCACCAAAAAATCAATGAAGTAACGTTAAATATAAGAGTGATGTGTTGACAACTAACAAAGATGTGGCTTTTCAAAGTTACAAAATTTCACTTACTTTTGTAGAGCAAAATAGGGGGAGAGGTAAACATTACAGTGGACCCTTGTTTTAATGAACCTCTATATATCAAAGTCCTGGGTATATGGAACAATATTCCTATCCCTAGTTATAGCAAAATATATGGAAAAGAACCTCAATATAACAAACTCTTCTTTTAGCAAACATATTTTGTCAGTCCCTTGCAGGGCTGTCATAAAGGGCCGGGGGCCGAGATTCCTCATGTGGCCCTTGGCTACATTCATTGAAAAATTAATAGAAGAAAAATAGAACCAAAAGAAATCCTTAGCTGCTTGATTCCCCTCCTAGTTGTTATATTTACCTGGTAACTTGAAATCTTAGTGAGAACCCTGCCCTTGCCCCTTCATTACATCGAGGTTTCGCTTTCATTCACAAGTATCCACCTTCATCAGTCTTCATTCAATGTCATTCATCTTAATCCATTTTCATTCATCCACCTATCCACCTTCATTCACTTTCATTCACTTTTATCCACCCTAATTCACTTTCATCCACTTCCATCATCCATCTTAATTGTGTGGTTCCAGAAAATATCCATACCCCCCCCCCAACCCCCATGGAAAATCATTGGAAATTCCGCGGGGGAGGGGGGGTTCATGGGAAACTTCTTTTCCAACTAGTGAAAGAGTCTTCCGTGGGGGAGGTATGGATATTTTCTGGAACCACACATTCACCGTCATTCCACAAAACTTTGCAAGTTTTGTGGTGCCGTCGTACCTTCACACATTTCACGTCTACCACCTTCAAAATTGACAATAAAAAGCTAAAAAATACCATGGAAGGGGAATGTGACCCCACAGGAAACAATGAGAACAGTGGCATAATAAAAGATTTTTCCATCATTCCACTCCAGTGAGCATACACAATGAAATGAGGTCAAGTAACTTTTACCTTGCAAGATGAATAGACGCCCAGCTTTTCAAGCTTTTTTCTAACAGGATATGTCTTGATTTGAGCTTTCCTTTGTGCGATTCTTTGTAAATTGACGGGACGACTAAGCTCTGATGGAGTTATTTGCGGTGTTCCTGGCCGTTTCGTATTGTCTGAACCATTTGATGAGGAGGATAACTCACTGAACCCTACACCCTGTCCCGCCATCTTGAATTTTAATAAAATTTATCCTGGTCAGCGGTTAATTTAACATCACTTAATGTTACATGTATGCTTTACTTAAGAGTAACCTTTCTCATTCAAAATGGCGGATAGCAAAGACCGAAAAATCCTGTTCGTTTGCCTCGGAAATACATGTCGTTCACCTTCCGCCGAAGCAATCCTAAAACATCTTCTCGAAAAAAGAGGGAACAGCGCTGACTGGGAAATCGATAGCGCCGGAATACTTGATCTCCATAACGGACTTCGATCGGACAGTCGTGGCTTAAAAGTCTTGAAGAAACATGGAATTGCGAATCCACACCGAGCCAGACAGGTACACGAAGATGATTTCCGCCACTTCGATGTCATAATGGCTTTTGATGATAGTAATGTGGAGGATCTGAAGGAATTTAGGCCCACTGATGGAACTGCGAGAGCTAAAGTGAAGCTGTTTGGAACGTACGATCCTAAAGGACAACGAACAATTGAGGATCCTTATTGCGGAGATAGTTCGGACTTTGAAGAAATGTTTGATCATATATACAGATGCTGTGAGGAATTTCTTAGACAGTCAAGATAACTAAAAACATTTTAGGCATCCCATTATTTATCGGTAACTTAAAATTCTTAGAAGTACAATTTCAAACTCTTCAATGTACTCAAGTCAATCAAGTCTGGAATTTAACTGATTAACGAGGCTTTTACATAGCCTATAAACCTATGTATCTAGCTTTGTATTAAACTGCAAAGAAAAATTGAAATTGGAAAAAAAGCTTGTATTAACCAGTTTTTCTTAAACAAAATTCAGGGGCACCCAACGACCGTTTTCTGGGAAATGATCTGAAATGGCTCGTTATGCATCCTGGAGTGCTTTAAAAGCAATATAAATGAATAATTCGCATCGCTAAAAAAATTTGATCTGTTCGGTCGTCCTAGGAGTGGTTTGAACCTCTCGAATTTTTTAGGGCTGTTTTTCGCCTTTCCCGAAAATATTAGCCTACAGTGAAAGCTTTCCGAAAACGTAAGATTACCTGACGAGCTTTTGCCTTGACCGAAATTTTTAGGGGTCCTTTCAAGTTTTCTCCGAAAACTTTATGTAGTCTGAGAATGTCTCCGAATTTTCTAGGGCGACGTAGAATGTATAGAAAATTCTAGGTGTAAAAGAAAAGGCATTTAAGTGATTTTAAAGCCAGTTGAAACGTCTAATGAATGTATAGAAAATTCTAGGTGTAAAAGAAAAGACATTTAAGTGATTTTAAAGCCAGTTGAAACGTCTAATGAATGTATAGAAAATTCTAGGTGTAAAACAAAAGGCATTTAAGTGATTTTAAAGCCAGTTGAAACGTCTTGTACCTGGCGAACTCAATTCGCACGGCACTTGCCACTGACTTGCGGAAAAATCTGAAATACGGCATGGCACTGACTGATTACAACGCACATTGAACGCAGTCAGCTAAGGCAGTTGGCAGAGTTGGGATCAGTTGGGATGGCCCAGAGCACGGCTCAGTGTTTATTTCTTCAGTGTTCTGTTCTGTACATTTTTTTGTGTTCGTTCCCAAGGGGTCAGGGGTAAGGTGCTCTGGGTGCTAAGGTAATAGGAGAGGACAGCTGATGGGGGGGAAGCTGAAGAATAGGCAGAATAGATCCAGTAGGCTGAGTAGGCAGACAGGCAGAACGCAGGATGGGATAGTAAAGATCAGAAAGATCAGAAGATTACGCTTTTTTATTTCAGTTCTTTGAATAGTTTAAAGAACTGTTTCATCGGGTACTTTTTCCTGTATTTCGGCGTCAGTGTGTCCCTAATCTGGTAAGAAAAAACTCAGAACACTGGAATAACCAAGATTCCGGAGTCTGAAGATTCCTCCAAGTATAGATAATAATCCTGAATAATTTACAATTATCTGAATTATTAGGTGAATTATCAGCTGACGATTACAGTAAATTATCAGGCTGAATTATTCCTGTTATAACACGACTGACACGAGTGCGCGTTGGGTGTGGTTGGCCTGGCTATGAGTCTGATGAGTTTGCTGATGAGTTGGCTATAATGAATGTGTCTCAGGTGTCTGATGGGTTCATCTTTCTTCAGCTGTTTCTTTTTCTAAAAGTTGCAAGGCTGCAGTGAGACTTCTGAGACTGACTGTGTTTTTTTCCTTATTTATCATCAGCTGTGTCATTTTCGTTTTGCAGTGAAAGTTAAGGTACACAGCAATCCGAACAAAGGTTCGAAAGGTTCGGCAGGTGCATACGATTTCGCGACTGCAAAGCCGCAGTCAGTGAACGAGTGAACACTGAATGCAGCAAGATGCTGAAGATGGGCAATTGAAAACAATGGATATTCAAGTTGAAGTTGGGGTGAAAATCGAATAAACAGAATAAAGTGGATGTACTAAGCTAAGTCTGCCATTTTTCAATTGCACTTTTCTGTGGTCGCAGCGCCAACACAAGGTCTATCTACTGTTTTTCACATGTACTGTTCAGACTGTTGCCTATTTTACTTATTGCATTTACTTTGCATTATATTTTACCTGAGTGGAAAACCTAATTTTTCTCGTTTGCTGCTGCTACTATCATTGGGATGGGAAGCGGGCTATGTACGAAAAAAAACCCGTAGCACACTAAAAAATACCGTATTTATTCGAATAAGCGCCCAACCTCGAATTAGCGCCCACCTCGAATAAGCACCCATCCTAGAGGCAGAAAAAGTTAATTAACACCCAGCCTCGAATAAGCGCCCACCCCTCCTCACGGCCCTCCCCTTTCCACTCAAACTAAAATAAGTGCCCACTCCTACCCCCCTTACTCCTCCGACACACACACAAAATTGAATAAGTACTAAGGGACTTCCCCGCAGATGGAGTTTTCTTCAGAGTATTTTACAGAAACCTTGCATTATTACCTTTTTCTCGTTTTGTTGTTACCATTTATTGTTTTGTTGCAAAATAAACATAACACAGTTGCTGAAAATGGTGAAAATTCAATAAGCGCCCAGCCTTCAATAAACACCCACCTAGAATAGGCGTCCACTCTCAAGGTCCAAAAATTTTTTAATAATCGAATAAATATAGTAATCATAAAAGCCATATGTCGGTCCACTAAAAGGTAGTTTTTCAGGTTTGTAATCATTTTAAAACCGTCTAATTTTACTGGTTTTACAAGCACCTGAACAGGGGTAGGAGTCCTTACTATGAACAGTATGTATGTATGTATGAAGGCCTATACCAAGAATACAAGGAGGCTCTTCCCGAAAGGAGTACTCGTAACTTTTGGTGTCCTAAGTATCTTTAAAATTTTGATTGAAGAATAGAGACTGCAAGATGCGAAAGGACTATTATCTTTCAATGGAAAGAATACAAAAGGTAACTTTTCAGGCTGACTTCAGGCCAAAGTCCTGAGGCGTAATCTACTAAGGTGTTGAACCTCGGGCAGAGCCTTCTTGTTTAAGACTTTGTAGAGTAGCTGTCTATACCTGCCCACGCTGGGAACCCAATTTGTATTAACCACTGAAAACAAATGTTACGTAAATCATTTTTGCTGTTTTAGGTGAAAGGTGGTGACAGGCCAAACACGACTCATAAGCTCGTGATAGTGTGATACGTGACCTTATAGTTTTGCTCTAACGAGGATATCTCCCAGCGATTTTGCTCTTTTATATGAAATGATGGGAGGCTCGTTGTATATTTCTCTCAGTAGTGGTTGATCTTGAATTAAGTGCCATTTGCTCATTAAAATGTTTTTAAGGTTCTGCAAAGCAGGGTGGTATGAGGTAACGGAAGTCAGAATTTTCTTTCGCACTTCATTTTTCTTTTGTAAACCTGACTTGCGTTCGGTAAATTTAACCTCAGAGGTGATTTTTTCTACGAGATTGTGAGGGTAACCTCTAGCGCGAAGGCGTTTTTTGAAGTTGTAGATGTTCTCATTGAAGGATTTAGCTGAGGAGTTAGTTCTCAGAAGTCTAAGGGCTTCGCCCTTTATGAGACCTTTTCTGACCCCGTGAGGGTTACAGGAAGAGAAATGCGTGTATTGAAAAGTCTCTGTAGGTTTAAAATGTGTGCGGATGTCAAGGATTCCTTGGTTGTGAAATCTCTGGCCTTTGTAAACAGTTGTATCCAGAAAGTTAATCTCTTTATCAGATATTTCAGCCGTAAATTTAATTGAAAGGTGATGCCTGTTTGCAAGGGCAATGAATTCATCTATCTCCTTTCTATCAGTTTTCCACAATGAGAAAATATCATCAATGTATCTTTTCCACTCAAGAGGTTTAGTTTTACTGAGGTTCAGTATTTCTGTCTCTACCGCCGACATAAAAATGTTGGCAAAGGCGACTGCCATCTTTGTACCCATTGCGGTTCCGTGTGTTTGGAGATAGTTTTTGCCGTTGAATTCAAACGAGTTCTCTTGAAGAATAAGTTTAAGGATTCTTCTGAGGGATTGTGTGGGGATGGGGGTGTTTTCCACGTAGAAAGTCTGGTATGCTTTGCATACTGTGTTTATTCCCTCTTCCTGTGGGATATTTGTGTACAGGCTAGTAACGTCTAAGGAGACTAGGAAAACGTCCCCTGGGAGGTTTCTCCTTTCTATGAAGTTAATAAAGTCAGTTGTGTCCTTAAGATAGGACTTTTGTGACTTAGCTATAGGCTGAAGTAGGCTGTCAACGAATGATGATATTCGCTCGGTGGGTCCGTCGTTTCCTGCCACTATAGGACGGCCAACAGGAGTTGGCTTATGAATCTTTGTGAGAGTGTAGAAGACAGGTATTCTGGGTGGGTTAGGTGTCTGTGATAACCATTTAACAGTCATTTCGTCAATAAAACTTCCAATAAAACTTCCACACAAGCCGCTTATAATCGTGCAAGTGACTGGGGTCTGTGAGATGTTTTACTCTAAGGAAGTATGGAAATCTTTCTCTCATGCAAATAACAGCGAAAATATATAGGTTACTTAACTGCGCCGATACAACAGTGAACAACTTCCCTTTTCCGCCCGGAACGGTTACAAACCTCCAT